GGAAAACCCATGGAAAGCACAGCTCTGCCCACTCACCGAGGGAAACCTACAGACAAGGGAATCTCCAGTGAAGTTTTAGGTGCAGTTGTACCATTGCTTTGGGCTCTGGGAACCCCGGGATGAGCGAGAAACCCGAGTCTGGTAAAAACTGAACTGAAACCAGGAGTGCAAGCGGTAAGACAAGACCAACACCCCAGAAAATGAGGGGTCTGGAGAGGACTGGAACCGTTAATAGAGTAATTTTTAGAGTTTGGGTTGCTGCCAATCAGAATGTAACACTCCAGTCCTGCCAGTGAAAAAGCCTCAATCATCAGGACATAGAGCAGTGCAGGAGTGATGGGAAGGTAATGCCTGGACACCTGATGTTCATTCAGTTGTCCCAAATCCCGACACCCTTCTCACCTCAATCCCAGAGACCAATATGGACTTTGCAGTGTTGGATGTGAAAGACGCCTTCTCTTGTGTCCCTGTGGGTGAACAGAGTCACCTTGCCTGTGCCTTTGAATGGGAAAAGCCAACTCAGAGCAGGGAAATGATATCAAGCCCCTCAAGATTAAAATCTAACTTTGCAATTTTTTTCAGTTGTTCATCAGTAGCTGCAGCTGGACAGCTGTGATCAACAAATTCCATTGTGAACATCCTGCACTCGGTTGATCTTTTGTTTCAAGGAAAAGAGGAGACAACCCCAAGAGCAGTGGGCTGTCTGGACAGGAGCCTCCAGGAGTGTTGTCAGCAGGACTGAGCAGTACCTGGGGAAAGGTAATTCCAGCAGTGGGAGATGGTGACCAGTGACCCACTGACCACCTGCTCAGAATGGCCCCCGACTGAAACAGAGGGAAGAGCTGCCCCTGCAGAGGGAGGGATGAGCGTGGGAAGGGAGGGACACCCAGCACAGAGAGGTTTCAGTGCTAATTGATAACGACTTGTGTAACCTGTAACCAAGGAACACTGGTGCCTTTGTTTGCTCAAGTGTATAAATGCTGATGCTCGGGAAGCGGGGAACGGCCTTGGGGAACCTCCAGCTCCCGGCTCTGCGCTAACAGGGATAAAACCCAGAAATCCCTCGCCTGGGGGTGGGAATTGGCACCGCACTCTGGGAACGAGCCCGCGGTGGGGACAGCAGTCCCGCTCCAGCCCACGGGACTCAGACCCAGCGTCAGGGAGCGGCCGGGGCAGGACGAGCCGCCCGTGCTGGGCTCGGGGCAGCGGCTCCGGGAGCGCCCGGCGGTGCCCGGGCCGGACCGAGGGGCTGCGGGACCGGCGAAGCAAAGGGGGAGGAGCCTCATCGGAGGAGGCGTGTCCATGCAAATCACGCACCCCTCGTGGGGGACGCCGGGACACGTCCCGCTCACACACCCCGCGGCCACGCGCGTCCGCGGGCGCTGCGCGGGGCGGGTCCGTGCGGGACGGTGGGGAGCGCGGGGCCGCACGGGTGCGGGGCCGGGTCCTTGGTGAGCGTGTGCTCGGGGCGGGT